CATTAACACCTATTCCCACCTCTGGAACAAGTGATTCCAGTAAGCACCACATCAGGGCAATAAAAGTGATAGTGACTGGTCTGAATTGGGATACCAGCAATCCCTGATGGCTGATGTACACTTACCATGTTTATTTTGAATGGCTCTAAGAGGAACCGCTGCCCACAGTGCTAAGCAAACCCCAAGCAGTGGGTGGTCGCAGATGAGAAACGTGAGAAGCTGCTTGCAGAAGCCTATCTCAAGCCCTTGCTCAGTGCCACCAACACAAGCACTTCTTTGTTAACACCTATCTTCAGATCTCTAGATTGTACTTCTATCATTCACAGGGCACCAGCAGAGAGAGCATGGCAAAAAATTTGAGCTCGCAGGGATAAACAAAATGTAGTATATAAACGAAGTTGCCAGGAAGATTCATTTTTGCTGAGCAGTATCAGATAAATAAATTATAAAGAACTGTAACTGCTACCTATTAAGAGACAGATTTATACGATAGCTAAAGCTTTCATAGTTTAGGCAAGAATGTCTAATAAAACGGCACAGCTGTGATTTAGGACGGTGTTTAAATTCATCGTTACATATATTTCGCACTTCCGACTGGTCTTCGTTACCAAGTCATGTATTGGCTTTGCCTGATATACGTATCCTTTTTTGCATATGTAATGAACTTATGAGCTTCCAGTAGAAAAGGCAATTTTAGAGCTATCTTCTCCTAAGGTTTGTGCTTAAATACGCTGGATGAGTCATCCACTGTACTAATAGACACAGTGAATTCAACAAGGCGAAAAATGTTAAAGGCTGAGATTCTGCACAGCACAGTAGGAGGATGGAGAGCACAAAGAAATTAAACTGAGAGGGCCTGTCTTACCCAGCAAGGCTTACTGGAAGTGGGGGAAAAAAACCCAACAAACCTCCTCATATATTTTTATCATTTGCTATAACCTTAGAGGTCCTTGCACGTCAGACCCCGATCAGGCAGGCAGCATCCTTGCTGCTGCAAACACAGGTCAGGGCTGTGAGAAGATAAATCCCCAGAAACATAGGTTGAGGTTCCCAAAATCCCTCCTAAAGCCTTCAGTCACCTGGATGAAATGGCCAAGGCTCCCAAACCAGCTTTCAACATCCACAGAAGCCACTGGGGTCTTAGCACAACTGCGATTTCCAAGGCACTGTTTTAAAACCTAGCTTTGGGCAGCATTCCCCCGAATCCTGGTCCAGATTCTCTCATTTCCAGGCTGGAAGGGACTGATGGCTGAGCTGCTCTGGATTTCTGCATAACACTAATCAGAGGATTTCAGCTCACTGGTCCAACCATAGCGAGTGCAGTCACTGCTGGTCAGTCTGTGCCCCGCTCCAGAAAGCGGGAAATTAGCAGTTACTCCTGTTGCAACATTTTTAAGGTTAGGGGAGAACTATATCTAACTCTGATTATCCTTCTCAGTGTCATCATGCACGTTCTACTGCAGCCACAAAAGCAAAGGGATCTGCAGGATTTGGTGCTGCAGTTACACCACAGAACTGCATATGAAGACATGTCAGTTGAATAATGCAAGATTTCTTCCTTAATGAAATCTTTTCCCCATATTTTTCATAAATATTTAAATGAACAAAACCAGAAAGACACTACAAATCTCTTTGTCCAGTTGCAATGTTTTGAAAATAAAACACAAACCATATTTCTATTGGATTTAATTCATGCTGAAGTTCAAGTGAACATTTAGGCAGCATTTATCATCTTCAGAGCACTGTGCAAATGCAAGCTAATGCATGATTTGTGGTCCTGCTCAGCACATCTGTGGCTCTCTTATTTCTGAGTATCTACATGGTTCAGCCTGACTTGAGCCCTGCACTCTGGTGAGCCAAGAGCCACCCACCACCCAAGCACTGGCAAGCTGCAAATATTTCAGATCAATGGCAGCTCTGGACACTATGCAGTAAAATCCCAGTGTGGCTCATCTCTGTGTTTCACAGCAGTTCCTACTTCAGAGTCAATTCTAAGATTTAGTTAACACAGCTCATAAAACACTACTCCATCCATCTAAATAGCAAAGAAAAGCAAGGGTAAAAAAGGCAAATAAATAAATGTCTTACAGATATGATCTTCTGGAGCATTTTTGCATCTCCTCTTTTTTCCCAAATAACAGAGGACTTATGCTTATCCTCAAAGATGCTTACAAGTCAGCTTTCTCTTTTAATCACAGCACTTTGGAGAGTAAATAATTTTAATTGTCTTGTACGTTGCTGACTACACCAACAGGAATATACCAAGGGATATGGCCCAGAAAGGAGCTGGTACATCTCAAAAGATCAGCAATGAATAAAACAGAGGCTACATTAAAAAAAAATATAGAGAGAAAGAATTTAGTACCACTGCAACATGAGAAACATAGTTTCTGACATCTGGGTAAATATTTGTCTTTCCTCTGTATGTAGCATATAAACCTATGTCCAACTGGGTACCCAAACCAGTGAGTTAAGATAGGAGGTTGGATCACAGAATCAACCACTTATGACCCTAGAAAAAGACAACTGTATTCTCACATGAACTCTGACAAGCCAAAGGAGACTTCTGCTTTTCCGAAAACTGTAATGCTGTTGGTGTTTCCTATGGGACTTGAATCAGGGACTGGCGTGGAGGGCAGGCAGGGCACATGCTCCTGTTCTAAGAAAAGAGGCAAAAGAAAAAATAATCAAAGGGTCAGAGAAACCATTTGATAGTCTTGTACTGCAATTAGAGCCATACTGCTCTGAAGTTGTCTTTGGGATTTTTAGCAGGCTACTTTAACAGTGGAAAAGTCTGGAAGTGGTGCAAGGGTTCCAGATCTCTGAGGGCAACCAAGAGGTCTGGCATTTTTGGTAGCAGGCAGGAAGCCTTCTGAGTAACACTCTGTGTTCATTAAAGTCATCACAGCAGGATTTCACATGCTTCCTGCAAATATCAACCCTCAGCAAGGAGTAGTAGCATGGACAGCTTTCCAGGAACTCCAAATGTCAAACTGGCCATTGTGAGGTACAAAGGACAATGCTGCTAGGTGCGCTTCGTGCTCCTTCCTTCTGGCTAACACAGTGGTTTAATCTTCATATTTTCTAGGGCACAGAAGCTGAAGGCAGGCAACTTGGCTGAATGCTCAAAAGGGAATACAAAACTCTCAGAATTTATTTGCAGATATATAGCAAAGTTCCTTTTTCTCCTATTTCCTCTCCAGACCTGCACCATACCTGTGCAGTCTCACCTGGCAAGATTGCTTAGGACCCTCTGAAGTCAAGAATAGAGGTCCTCACATGAAAGCAAAGTCTATGATGGGGATCTGTATCTATCAGTCAGCACCTTTCCTGCTGTCAAAGTAAAGAAAACCCAGAAACCCAAGCACTGGGGAGAAAAATGCCATCTCTCACCTCTACAACGAATGGTGAATAACACTTTGCTTCACAAGGACATGATGGTAGGATGCCTGCAAGGTGAGGCACAAGCATAGCCAAAGTCGTCTTCTACTAAAGGTTTAAAACACAACACCTACCTGCAAATTAAGCCGATAAACCATTCCTTAAGAGAGGACAATAATGTCTTTTTGCACCCCTGTGCCACAAGAGAGGTTGGCAGAGATGGGACGCTTGCTAGTGGGTGCTATGGCCACAACAAGTCACCTCCAGCCAGGGCCATCAGCCCTCCAAGATACCTTTTAGACTCCTAGACTGAAGAAGAGAGGGTTTTTAGAGGGTTTGCTTTTGATTAGTATTTCTCAAGCTGAGGCACCCACTTGCTTGTTCTTTAGTCCACAAGTTGCTCCTCACTTCTCATTACCAGACTGTGGAGGAAGGACTAAGAGTGCACCAACAATTTCCACAGCACCATTAACTTCCTAGGATGTTGCATCTCCCTTGAAAAGAAGCAGCTGGCATATGGCACAGAATAATGGAAAGTGAGGCACCCGTAGCAGGTACGTACAGGCAGCAGCAGGGATTGCTGGCCCCACTCTGGCACTTTCAATACAAGGACAACTAGCTTCAGCTTATCATCTGTTTCCCTTGCTTAAGGGCAAAAATATGCTACACTGCATGATGAGGCCAAGGAGGAGGCTTTGATAGCTACATTATGCCTAAGCCTGGAAATGAGACAACACGGGGAACATACATATAAGAGGGACAACTGAGCGCTTTAGGAGCTCTTCCCATTTTCAATTACTCCACAATGCAAATATCTTCATAAATACCAGTAAGGCAGAAAAGAGAGAAAGCAATGGGACCCCAAACCAGAGGCTTGCTTCCAAAGTCCACATGAACTTTTTATACCTTTTAGCCACTTCATTTCCCAGGGAGGAAGAAATTCCTGGCATGGAGAGGCAGCAGCACTGTGCTGCTGGAGTGGGGGAGACTGGACCTGCATAATTTCTGTGCTCTCCTGAGAGGCAGTAACACAGCCCCGGCAAGCGGTGTGGAGCCAGTTTGCATCTGGAATGAAACACGCCTTCCTCCCCCAAGAGAGTCACTGTGGCAGGGTCAGCAGGCACTGCTCGGCCAGGCTTCCCTTCCTGTGCTGTGGCTGGAAGTCAGCCAGAGACAGCTTAAGACTTTGGAGAAATGAAGAACCCCAAGTGCCAGTTAATTTTTTTACACAGGTAAATAAGAGCAAAGTGCCTAGAGGTGATGCTTGGCCACTGGAGTGTGTGAAGTCATGGCACAGGGCTGCTCCGCTTACTCCAGCCAGGGAGTCCCTGCAGAAGGTTGGATGCTATTTTTGAATCCTGCAGGCAGCATCTCCTGCAGGCTGACAGCCGAATTCCTGAGGCAGGGATCCTCACGAGGGACTCCACTGCAGGAAAATGAACTCAGCTGTGCAAGGAAAAAGCATATTCAGCAGAATACAGCAGGGCTGGGAGGCACACAGAGCCAGGCAGGCAGAGCTGGCAGCACCCAGTGAGATGACAGTAGGAAAGTGCTGGGAGGCACTGGGCACTCAGCAATACTTCATAGAGTCATAGAATCTCCTGAGTTGGAAGGGATCCACAACGATCATCGACGTCCAACTCCTGGCCCTGCACAAGACCACCCCAAGACCATGACAGGACCACTTCACTGGAGACCTACCAATTTCTCTGCTCCAGCCTTTGGAAACGGGAACCGATTCATGTCTCTGGCTTTCCCAAACTGGATGCTCCTGTAAGCATGATGCTATTTCTCAAGCTGCCAGATGCCTTTTCTCCTTCCCCCTGAAAGGCCCTCTGCATTGCTCCCTTCTGCTCAGTGCACACATTTCTAAGAGCTTCCTGTGAAGGCCTGAATTGTCTTGAGGCAGAAGATGTTTACAGCATTCATGCCTTCCCAGTCAGCAACAGCATCCTATTCTGGTATGGGTCCCTTCATCAAACAAGAGTGAATCTGAAAGCTCAAGTGGGAGTTGAACTTCCAGAAAGATAAAGAAAAGTTGAAGCAAGAACCGAGGATTTCCACTGCAAAAGTTTAGTGCACATAAAACCACAACTGAAGTCAGAGGAGCTTGGGCTTCAAATAAACAGAGCACAACACACGCTCGCTATGCAGGGAAAGTCTGACCCCAAACCAGCAGCCAGCAGGTAGAGTTCTCCAACCTTGACTTCTCCACCTGCAGAGTCACTCAAGTAAACAGATAGAGGGACAGACATTTTTCAAGAGTCAGAGAAAATGAATTCATTGCTCCTTCTGGAGCACAGCAATACATCTGCAACAAACAGCACAAAGGAGTTAAAATTATGTTAATAATTATGTCTTCAGCATTTCAGTGCTTTGCAGGTAATAAAATATGAGGCCAACAGATGAGGGAATACAAAATACTGTGAAGTTGCTCACTGAACATTCATTGGCCCTCCTTACACCAGTCAGACCGGGTTCAGGATCTGAGGTTATATGGCAATGCAGAAGTATTAAGGGACAGGGCTAAGGTGTCCAAATCTCCTTGATTCCAGCATTTCTGAAAGTTCTTCAGCCCTTAGCTTTCAAGAAGTATTTCAGATTTACCCTCTGCTACCCAAGCCGGTTAACCTCACTGAGAGGGAATGGTTTCAGAGGAGGGGAGACCTGGTGCCTCCTTTCTGTAGACACCTGTTTGGGTGGGAATCCCCTTTGGTCCTCTCCTTGCATGTTACATGAAGACACAGTGTAGCATTTAACCCCTTATGCTATTTGGAAATACTGCAAACAAAATTGAAGTGCAGTACTGATGTACAACCCAAAACCCTAATGTCTTTAAACCAGTATCTTCCATGAAGGATGGAAGCTACAGGTGACCCTCCCATGAAAAACAGAAAGCAAACATGAAATTTCCCTCCTTCCCAGGTCAGGTCCCTCTCCCCTGCCCAAATCTGGGCCCTGTCTGCCCACTCCTGCACCATCATGAGCACTAGCAGGGGCGCATGGTGTGCCTCAAAGTGAGTTTGCAAAATGCAGCTACTGGCGGAGCCAGCACATCACCTTACAAAGTTCAAACACTGCCACAGAGGTGCCTGCTCATTTTTTTTCTCTTGTTAAGTTGCCAAGAAAAGTGCAGTGAAAGTTATCTGCATGATATCATTGTGAGCTAAGGACCTTGTTGTAAGTAATTTACTTAAATTTCTAGTGGATATATATACACACATTCACACACACACGTATGCATATACATATATGCATACATATATATACAGAACAACTGACACGCAATGTGCCTACAACTAGGAAACATAATGCTTGCTTTAAAAAGAGGCATGGTTGACTTGAGAGGTATCATCCTACAAGATTAAATCATAAAAAGTTTTAGATATTCTACTGCCAAGTCTGGAACTTGACCCTGAGACTTTCATAATCCTGACAAAATGGTTTGGGGGTTTTTCTTTGCTTTAGAGGACAAAAGGGAGAGGCAAAACACAAAGCCACAAACAGCAAATCTTTGAAGCACAGAGAGGAAACAGAAAGCAAGCAACGTAAAAACACATTCAAGCCTTCCACTCCATATTTAGCTGGTATTTACAACAACAGCTAGTTGGGGGAAAAAATAATAATTAGGCAATCAGGTCAATTTTAGGATAAAGAGTGGCCTTTTTACTACACACAAATTCTCCTTCCACCAGACATTTAACCTGTCTTTGAGGGCTGCCGAGAGCTGACCAGAGAGAAACACAGCATTTCACCATTCACTGCAAATTATGCTTGTTTGCTTGTTTACTGGATTATTTTCAAGGGCTGCAATAAAGGCATAGACTGCCTAAAGGTTTACACTGGATTTCCTTGCCATCTTGCTACATTTAAGGCCAGAGCAAAACGAAGGGGTTTTTTCCTTCTTTTTTGTGTTTGCTACAACTCCACTCCAACAATCTGACAGCATGTTGTATTGCCTTGGGCAAGGATACACTTCAGTAGGTTAGGAGAAATAAACTGCACAGTAACATCTTTCAACCATCTAAGTCAGTTTTCATATTCAGATCTAAATAAATAGAAGTTACAGTAAGAACTGAGATCAGCACAATGATGCTCATCTGCTACAGCAGGAGATCCCAACCAACTTTCCACCAAGTGGAAAGTTTTCTGCCTTTCTTCCTACAGGATTTCCAACAAACCTGGAGGAAGTCCACCTATCTCACATCCTTGTCCAAGAAAGGAGACACTACAAAACAAGCAGCACCCTGCTAAAGAAGCCTCCCGGATGCAGATGGTGGCATGCACTGCCACAAAGGAGCAGCAGCGTTGCTGAAGATGGTACAACACGGTACACACACAGTTCTTCACGTCCCAGGAATAACAAGTGAGCCAAGGTGATGGGTATCAGCAAGGAGGCACCAACAAGGTTGCTTTTTGATGTGGAGCTACACCCAATGCCTTTGCCTGTCACAGCACACGCTGCAAACCGAACACGCATACAGCATCCTGGCTGTATTTTGCTGTGCTTACAAAACCCTCCCTGCTCCTGTCCTTTGAAGGCTACAATTGCATCCGGCAGCCAAAAAATGAAGTGACATTTGGATCAGTAAATCTGAGCCTCCAAAATTCTGACATGGATATCACAGTAAGATTCAAAACATTAAAATCACTGCTGAAGGATAATTTGACCTGCATAACCATACATTTTCTCACACATATATAATCATTTCCACAGGGGAAGGTGAAAAAAAGAAGAAAGCAAGCATGAATTGGAATCATTTTAAAAGTTCATGTGACTTTTTGTTACTGGAATTGCCTTGTTCATTAGTGACAAAGACGTTGTTAATTCTAGGAGAAGGTGGAATAGGAACATTATTTAAAAAATTAAGGAAGGTGTGTGTTAAAGCACCATTCAGAGTATGAAACAAAGACTTTAAGTAAGCTCACAGGATCTTATGATTACATCTGTACTTCACAGGCCTACAATGTGGATTTTTTTTTCGAATTTTTCTAAGAAGTTAAAGAAAAATCAGTTGTGATTCAAAATAGGAAGTGGGGGGAGACATCAAATTTGCTTGATTTTTGGAGAAGATCATGTGTTTACTACCCTGCTTTCCACCCACAACAAGCACACGTTTTAGCAACGAACAGTTGGAGAAGCAGAAGTTGCCAGTGAAAGTCAAACATTGACATGCAGAAGGCATCTTATTTTCTTTTTTTCTTTTATGTTAATTCAGAAAAGAAAAGCTCCACCTTTTAGACCCTGGGATTAAATAGACAGCACTGAGCCCCTTGTTATCAGATAAACTGCTACCCAGGGAAACCACAAAAAGATAAAGCTAAAATTTTTGGCTTTCTCTCAGAAAGAGACCATGACCCTTCCCCCTGTCCTGAGTGAAAGGTCCCTGATGCCCTGGGCAATACTCAGCCATAGCATGCTCTTGCCTCACCACCAAAGTCACAAAGAGAAAAGCTGAAGAAGTTGCCAAAGTGCCAGTGGGCAGCACGCTGCCTCCACTATACACGGCAGCACCTTCGGCCACCGAAAACACGTACATCCTTTTTATTGCCAACTTACCATAGAGCAAATGTCTATTTTAGCTATTCCATCAGATGATGAAGCTCTGTTTAATTAATTTCCAATCCTTTTAAAATTATACATCCCTGAGAGCCCTGTTGGTCATGGCAAATGGCAATTTTAAAGAAAGCAATTCTGAGAACCAGCTGAATTTGCTTTTAAAAACATTATTTAAGAGCTACTCTGCCTAATATGTTCTACAACCATTCCCCAGCAAGTCTAATTTCAGATTTTCAAGCAAACTTTTTAACATTTTGTTCCGGTATATCTCTTCAAGCCAGGCTGTGACAAAGTTAGTGGAAGCTTGAACAATGGTTCTTGACAGTGGAATAACACCTTAAACTTCTCAAGGGCATGCCAGGTCAGTGTTCTTTCAGATTTTTTGCTACTCTGTTAAATTTTTAATATAGCTTCAGCAAATAATGAATTTACAGACTGGGACTGTTCCCAAATCAAGGTACCTGCAACTGAAAACGAAGCAAAAATGCACAATGCCCATCGGTGGCATTAAGCTACATATCACCCATCAATCGTTACACAGACTAACAGTCATGGGAGACCATTTCGAAGCCAACATGGTAACTTTATAGGTAGAAAAAGGGTCAGGATGGCAATGGTAATATAGTGGGAGGAAAGCAGCGTGCAAGCTATAATTCATTATTTTACTACTACCATAGTACCCAAAAATCCCAGTGGAGTCCTAAGCTCCAGCCCGCTAAGTACTGCACACACATACAGTAAAGCCCCTTCTGCCCTGAACAATATATATTCAATACTTCTGAGGACAAAGACCATGAAAGAGGCAGTGGCGCTGTCCCTGTGGTGCAGATGGCCAACCAGGGCAGGAGGAGGTTACGCACCTCGTGCAAGGTCAGATGAAAAATCAATGGCAGGCGAACACAGGTCATCTGAATTGCAGTCTGGAGTCCACTGCAAGGCCGGCCCTCCCCACTCTGATGTATAGGCCAGCGCTGCTACAGGCCGTGCTTAGGTACACGCCATGCTAAGTACTTCGTGCATCCTCCTGGAATGCCACTTTTTGCTACCACAAGTTGTTAATTCAGCAAGGAAAACAACAGTGTCCCACTGAATGCCCTGCAAAAACCCAATTGTTTCAGAGCTGTACTCTGTAATAGCCTCTCTCAGGGTTTTAGGACCCAACTGATACATGAGGTAGTCGGATACCAAGCGTGGAGAATACATGCCCCTTGAGGAACGCAAAACCTTCTGATAACCTCCCTAATCAATACCTCTCCAGTTACAAAAGTTCATGCAACACCCAGGACCCCCTCATTTTTAGCAAAATTACATATATGCAGGAAGGGCACTGTTTGCAGACAAAACTGTGGCACAAGCCATTAAAACCAGTGATCCACAACAGAAGGAAAAAGAAACTGAACATTGCAGTTCTCCCTGGAAAAGCTCATCCTGGTTCAGCAGGATGGCTTACTAGGGGAGGAGCAGAATTAAACCCAGCAGCATTATCCTTGGCCCCTAAATGCAAGACCACTGTATGTTCTCTACTCCCATTAACTTCACAACTATTACTATCCCACTCCCCTCTGAAAAAGTAGAAGTCCCTATATTTTAGGGATTTGAAAATTGACACAAAAACAGTTAAGTTAAAGCCTTCCCTATTGCAAACGCACTTTGCTATAAATGGTAAGATTTGAGTGGCACCTCTGTAGCAGTTCCCTGCACTAACTGTAGATCAATTGAGTGCTTTATACACTTTGGTGAGAGGATTTTTCAGAGCTAGACAACCCTCGTTTCTTAGGATCATCATAGCAAATAGAATACATCTCATCATTTTCCTTTTCTGTCAATCAAAGCTATTTATCACAGAGGCTAAGAGTTGACCCATTAATGGGATAAGGATTCCTAATCTATCAAGAATATATGCCAACAACTAATCATTAGATCCTCTGTAAGCCTATACATTATTTACTTTTGACATAACACATTGTACAGATTTTTCTTTTACTCAAAATCATTCCTAGACTCACAGCGCTAGCGGATGAAGATGGCTACAGAGGGAAAATTGTTTTAACACCAGAAGAACCACAGAGCCTGTATCAGCTCCTCAGACAAGATAAATCAACACAGCCACTGACCTGATTTCAGTGGCACTAAGCTAATTTGCATCAGCTGAGCAGTGGACCCATTATCAATAGATTTGGAAATGAGCAAGCAGATGCAAAAAACTCATTTGGCATTGAAAGAATGGCAGTAAGAGGCTCTTATGAAGGTGTCTTTCTGAGGGTTTGATTTTTATGGCCACACTAGTGAGTACCTAGCTTCCACACGGTGTGTGGATCAAGCGCTTGTGGATACTACAGCACAGGGCTCTTCCAAAGCAAGAGCAGAAAGGGTTTGTCACACAGAAGATTTTCAAGCACATCCCAAAGGAACAAGCTGGCTGTGAGAAGGACAGAAAGCGGTTAAAGCGATGATATACTCTTCCCTTTTCACTCAGGTTACCCATTCTCCACCCTGACACCCATCCTTCAGAGTTTCAGCTCAGAAAGGAGCTTGGTCATCCAGACTTATTTGTTTTTATAGTTCTGGAAAGGAGACGATAATCCAGACTCGAGACTCAAGTAAGAAGATAACTTCCATATTTAAACAGCTACACATATTTTCAGCCTATTTCAGGAGCACAGGGAAGATAACACGAAGCTCCACTTTCCAGGCTTACCATGCTAAGAGGATAAAAAGAGAACTCTTGTTAATACTTGTGCCTAGACAGTAGAGCATTATGGCTTGGATTCACAAAGGGATTTAGAACTCTAAGTCCCACTGGAATCAGGAAATGAATGGGACTTAGGGTCCTAAGGGCCTTTGAGAGTCCCAGTGCCTCCTCCTTTTGAAGGCAATGGGAACAATGCCATGGCATTAAACAAGGGCAGTGCCTGCCCTTAAAACTTTAACTCTATTAAAAGACTAGAGGTTATCTGGTGACAAACAGGCACAACACCCTTGGTGAAGAGACTTTGGCCTGAATGCCTTTAAAGCTTCCACTGCACTCCATCAAATGGAGCTGAAGCAAAGTCCATACACGTCAATGAGAGCTTTGCAGTGAGATTAAGATTTCAGTCCAGGTCCTTGAGTCAGAGGCAGATGAGTTGCCACCGGGAAGACAAACTGTTCCATCAGCAAGCCTCGACCATGCACTGTTACTGCACAAAGCTCTTTGGGTAGGTAGGCAACAGTGCACGGTGGTGTAGTTTTACCAATGAACCCCCTTTTGGTTTCCAATGATTAAAGCTTGTCATCCCCTGATCCACACTAACTCTAACAATTCTCTGTGAAGTAAATACAGTCATGATACTTGCACTTCATTTGTTATTGCTATTTTAAATACAGTTGTAATAAAGATCAGTGACGTGCTCCTGTAGAATGGAATAGGGTCTCCCAATACAGGTGGTATCAACATAACTGAAATTTTATACACTGGTAAGGTAAGAAAAAACATATGACCCACCTTCTGTATCTTCTGTACTCCTGAGCACAGATTAAGAGAAATAAAGGGCATTATCTAAGCAAGTGTCAAGTGTATAAATATTATTATCTGCTAATAAGCCCTTCATTGTGCTGGTGTAATATGTATGTCCCTTTTGCTTATACAGCTCCAGAAAGCTTCATAATGTAAGACAAGGGTATCCTAACAGATGACCTAACGGCAACTGCATTTGCATGGCAAATCCCTCTCTAACCAGGCTCTTGAAGGCTTCAGTTTCTCTTCCCTGTTCCAGTAGAGTATTGAGGGTGATACGCAAGCTGATAAGTGCTCAGCCTCATCTATGGCACTTTTCTGTTCTACTTTGTTCACAGCACATAGCCAAGAAGACCATGAGGCTGTTTTACAAGCCATAACAATTTTGACAAATGGTCTTTCCTTAAAAAGCATCCCTGAAATCTTCTAGTGCTGTAGACAATTTGACACGGGGTCAGAAGAGATTCATCATCACTGCAGCAATGCTATCTCAACCCCCAGAACATGTAGCTAAAGCTGCCTCTGCTCTACCTAGACAGGAGGAGTGGAAAAAAAAAAAGAAAAAGAGTTGTAGTTGGTTTTGGTTTGTTTTTTTTTTTTAAGAAAATCAATAAACACCAGCACTTCATCTCTGCTCAATTTAGCCCTTTCTGGGAGCATAGATAATTCCTGATGGCAGTAGTCCAAAGTGTCCAAATTCAGACAGTCTGATAGCCCTTTCAGTAGGGTTAGTCCTGGCAGAGACAATAATCAGGCCTCCCACGACGAATTTCATTCAACGAGCAGTGCTGATTACGGGAGTGGTTCGAATCATCACACAGTATTGACCAGAGATCAATTTTCAGCTTGAGGTATTGTGGAAAACATACAGTACACAGCTAAGCTAAAGGCGGGGAGTAGGAATTCAATAGCCTACCCAACCATGTCAAATAAAAGCCTGAACAGATAGATGCTACAATTTCTACCCCCTGAAGCCCATGTTTTTAAAGGAATACTCCGCGATGAAAGGGAGCCCGAGGAACTATATTTCATCATTACATTTTGCTGCATCATTAAAATTACCATTTGGTTTCTCCATCCCAAATTTATTTCAGTAGTCAATGTGTTTCACATTAAAAGAAAATGGCAAGTTGCTCAAACAGCTCTTCCTTTGATCACATCTTTCCTTAATTAAAATTCTCTGAGTCAGGTAATGACTGCCCTTCCTGCTGCAGGTGCCTCATCTCCCAGCAGTACATTGTTTTTCACCTCTACCCATGCCAAGCATCAGAACTTTCAGCTCTGACCCCACACCACCACCATCTCTGTAAAAGGGGAACAGCTATGCTCCTTGAAGACCCCATACTGTCAAGCATTGCTGCAAACTTCTAGACCTTCACACTTCTAAGAAAAAAAAAAACAACCTAGGTTTAAGGCAAGAAATACAGCACATCCTAAAAATAGTCAAAAAAAAAAAATTTGCTTGAGAAGGGATTCCTTTCCCAGGTATGCTCACTGTCATGTATACTACAGGATCTCCAGTTCTTCAGAGGATTCAAAGAGAAACCAGGGCTTGATTCAGCTCTGTGGCAAAGAAGAGAAGGTCAAGGTCCATTAGGCCTCTATCAAATACCAGCTCCCAGGAAAAGAGCTTTCACTCAGGGAAAGCTGCACCATAAGTAATCTCCTTCGCTTCTCTGGCCCCTAATGCCTAGTTTTGCTCTTCAGCACACAAGAGGATGCTGGGATCCTGTGGAGGGAGGGAGTGGATGTGGAAAGAGACATGGGGAGTCTTGCACAGATGCTCCCAAATCTTCACCTTCTGGATGACTTGACAAGCCAGCTTAGGACCATGGGGCTTCTACCTGGAAAAAACATGCTTTACTTGCAGGGGGAGAAACTGAGTCAGGTACCCATGTAGACCTTGGTCCGTCTGCACTGAAAAGTTATGGTGACTACTTAGGTTGAGGTTTTTTTCATGTGAGCAAGGGTAGAGAGCTTAACCTTGTAGAAGAATTTTTTTACTTTTTTTGGCAGATTTTTTTTTCTCATCTATTATTTACAGAACCTATTTTATAATTTCCACAGGGCTCAAAGCCAGTAATACAACAACATCTTTTAAAAAGGAAGACAAACTTGAAAATGGTTAATATAAATACCACATCAAATCACAGGAAAAGTAAATTCAGCAACAATGAATGTTGTAAAGTCATTGAATAACACTGCAAGTTGTAGTGTATCAAGGAGGAACAAATTTCCTAACATCAGCCTCCCCACCAAGAGATCCAGTCTATACCTGAGCCTAACACAGAAAATAATAAAACAAGAGAAACTCCCAGCTGGAGCAGGTGAAATCACAAATCAGCAGCTGTACTGAGTTGACGTCCCACATCCACAAACAAAAAGCAGGAGCTTATGCACGTGGAGCATATCAATGTTCTGCATAAGATCCTACTGTTTCTCTTCACTCTCTCATTTAATGTTTTCTTCTTGTTTTCTTTAAGCTATTTAAGTCCTCTTACTTGCGCACTTTTTTTTTCCCGACTTTAACTGTTCTCAAGTCCTTTTTGTGTTCTCTCCAACCTTCTTCCTCTTAGTAAGCTAAACATAAAATCAAATCGAATTTGGCCATGAATGGGCAAAGAAATATAACTCTGTGGTCTAGGGAAAACTATATTAAATGATCCCATGCAAACCTAGCTATAAGACAGGAACGACCAACAGTATTTAAAAACAGGGAGATGTCAGAAGATGATTTTGTGTTGGGTTTTTTTTTCCTTCTGCCTATTTTTCAATCTGTCAAAATGCAAATATAAGAAAAGGTAAAAATAGTGCTGAATGTTTGAAATGAGAGTTAAGTCAGTTTTAAGAGTCTCAGCTTAGGGATCCCTCATCTACATAAGCTCTCAAATAATGATGTGTGCTAACAGAGTAAAGTGCTAAAATGCATCTGAGCTGCAAACAGGGGATTGGTATCCTGCAGTGACACAAAATTACAGCTGAATGACAGGGCCTGCAAAGTTAAATTGTATTGCTTTAAAGGAGAATAAGATAAGAGTACTGCTAGGAAATGCAGGCTGCTCTACAGTAGAGTATAACGTGCACACACCAGGATCAGAGGTCTCTCTTATTATTCCACTATTGTAGTGGCCAAGGCATGCCAAATGAATTAAGCAACTTCACAGAAATTCAGCAGCAGAAATAATTTCAATTTAATAAAAACATCCATATATATATAAAAAGACATGGCCTGAAGCTTTACAAACCACAGAATTTCTATCAAGTATTTAAAATATTAAATGAGAAATTTACCTCCTAGTTTTACAAGTCGCCTTCTGCCCTCAAGAAGAACAGATGAGGTGTTCCTCCTTTTCTAAACTCGGTCAGCTACATTTTTTCTAAAGATATTTCTGTGCCTTTATTTCCAGCTCCTCCACTCTGCAGAGCTTTGTGTTATGGTGTAGCACTTTTCCCAGGACCGCCCCCTTGTCTTGTAATGCACCAAATATTTGGATTTTTTTCTACTTCCCTTTACTATAAAAAGTATCTTTAGTCATCTAGTTGCTTTCAAAAACAAGTACTTTCAGTGTGCAAACCAATGTGTCATCAGAACATTTTTTTTTAAATGCTGCATACTTGCCCTTTAAAAATAATACACCCCCCCCAAGTTGGACTTCTACTAAGTGTGGCCCACAAGATCT